GTTTACACACCAAAGCAAATACCTCATCGCACTATGGCAACCCCGGTGTCAGTCTATTTCTACCAAAATCTCTCTCAGTGTGCGTTATAGATGAGACAGCCATCTTTTATTAGTAAGCTCTTTGTGGCTTGCATACATCTGAATTCATGAGAGGCTCTGGGGAGCATGCTGCCTCTGAAGCCGTAGTTATTTATGATAAAAGGAAATAGTCTGAGAGCTCAAAATTAGCACAGCTAACTCTGGAATAAGTAAGGTTATGCTTTTGGCTTGTTGTTTTGTATTTGACTTGAGGTACTCTTCCCATTTATTCATGATATCATAGGAAATCTATTGACTGACCAACATAAAAAGCTGTCCAGAATGCTCCATTGTTTTTACAAAGTGTGTCAGTGTTTTTCAGTGTTTTCGTTCTATAACTTACCTGTGTTAGTACCCGAGATACTAAAGGAAAAAAATGGTTCAAACTAAGATTACGAAAAACAGGCCTAATAAAACTGACAGATTCTAGAGACTGAACTTTGGAGCGTCTTTCGCTGCAGCGTTTCCCGCCGAACGTTAAGATGAGTACACACAGTCCAACGAAAGGTTGCCGTTTGTTTGAAGCCAGTCCTTCGACATACATCTGTACATTTGTACACTGGTCAAACTGAAGGCCAAACCTATTTGGTGTTTTCAGCATCTATAAGATTAAATGCTGCTTAAGCAGTTTTAATGACAGTCTAAAAGTCTTTGGGCTTTATTTCAGACCAGAAAAGAATTTCCAGCTCTTTTTATGTAACATTAACTGTAATTGCCTTCTATGATTGTATTTATGAACATAATGATAACTTTGGTAAATGTGTAATATGTAAAGGGCAGCTGCATCCCCCACCAAAAATGATCTGAAAACGTGGGAAACACTTAAAACAAACCCATCTAAAATACACGTTTTGTTCTGTAATAGAATGGTAAAGCAGAGGTCAAGTGCAGGTGTTTTGTTTACCCAATTTCAGCGGGAAACCTCCAGTGATATTAACTTGTACTAACACGCCACATGTGTGGAGTTACGGACTACAGATGTGTGTAACTTTATCACGGATCCGGTGCACCTGCCGCTCAGATGACACACGATGCAAGTACAGAAAGAAAAAAAAAGAAAAAAAGGAGATGAAATAATGAGGCGACCACCCTTTTAGGCTCACCTTGGCTTGGAAACAGATCCCGTGCTGGTACGCCTCCTCGTTGTGCAGCGGCAGCCTGGAGTCCGCCACATCGTCCACCAGGTTGTACCTGTTCCTGGCCGGCATCCCGGGGGCTCCAAAACCGACGACCCACACCACACCCCCCCTGGACAACTTCACGGACCACCGGGGACGCGCTACAGCCCGCGCGTCAGAGCGCAGCGCGGCTCCGGGAGGGACTTCCCTGCGGAAGCGCGGTCCATTGTTGTCCCCCCCCCCAAAAAAAACGTCCCGTCCTCAAAGGAGGACAAAAAACTGCGCGACCCTTTTTTTTTTTCTGGAGACACAAAACACAGCTCGTTCTCTGGCCTACGTCCCGGTCACAGGGAAAAAAAAGAAGAAAAAAAACGGGGCGATCCAATCCAGAGGTTTGCGCAAAAGTCCCGGGAGAGATCCCGGCCCGCAGGTGGTGCAGCTGAGGTGATCCCGTCGGTGGGGACGCTGCAGCCGCCTGTTTTCTCTCTCTCTCCCTCCCTCCCTTCCTCTGTCCGCCTGTCTGTGTGTCTCTGTCTCTCCCTCCCCTCACAAAGCACAAAGCGAGTGCCTCAGAGGAGCGAAGTTCCCAAGCATGATGCAACACGGAGCTGGAGGGCAGCCAATAAACAAGTTACTACTCCCCCCCCCGTGAGGAGAGGCCGTGAGCCGGATGGGACATTATCTGAATAAAACCTATTCCAAATATCCTGGTGTTTGTATAGGAGTGGACAGGTTCCATCATCATCATCATCATCATCATCATCAGCCCTGAACTGGAGGAGGCTGGTGGATGGATATTTGCCTGAGGCTGTTTCAATCCTTAAACCTGAGATGTTTCTTTTTTTGTTGCCAAATAAAAGACTCCTCCAAGCATTAAAAATGGTACCAAACTCTAAAGCCTTTTAATGAACCAATTTAACAGGTGTATTTGGACCGCTTGCCATAAACAACTATTCTATTTAAATCTATTTTGTTGCATTTTCCAATTAAAAAATGTATCTAATATCATGTAAAAATTTAAATATACATAAATATGGAGATTTGATTGACTTAAATTGGTTATATTTCCTATGGTCACACCTTTAGTTCATAATTTCCTTGTTTTTTTACCCTATTATCCTCTAGACTTTAATCCTCTAGCCATATTTTCGACCCAATAACAAGGATTAACACAGACAGAATGGCTTTCATCATAACTGGAGTTTCCTTCCCAAGAGGCCGCCAAGTTTTTTAGATGATAAGAGACGAGTCCCTTAAAAGCTATCATTAACGGCATATGATATCACCACGATGACTTCCCACTGACATCTCCTTTTGATAATGATATTTATTTATGTTTCCTTGTGAAGTTGTGAACTGAAAATGGATGACTCTGATGATCAGTCCTCATCAAGCCGAGTCTTCTGCAGTGAAGGGTTTTATATATGTACAAACCAATAAAAGCCTGCAAGTATGTAGAGCATCTTAAGTTAAGTTTTCACAGCATTAATTATTAAGATCACACTCTAGGCTAACTGTACTACTTTATTACATAGTAACTGAGATCTGAAATGATGCCCTGGCGCCCCCTGTTGGCTGCATAAAGCCCTTTCTTTTAGGATTTGTGCATTCATATTTTGCATGTGAAGTGAAGACTCTTCAAGTTCGTTATCATGAATTTGAAATGAAATAGAGGATAATAATTTGATTAAGGCTTAAAAATCTAAGTGATGGAGATATGAGAAAATGGCTGCCAGATGCCTCAAGTAAACCCCAGTAATCTGCACTCAAAACTCAACATATTAAAACAGCTGAATGCTGGAATTAAGCCGTTTTCATGGCAAGAGGACAGGCAATAAAGTTGGACAGCTTCCAATAAATTGATTAATCAAACAGGTATTCATTACCAATGAGGATTTCCACTTGTCTACAGCTGATCCCTTTCTCTGATTTTAGCCCTCCAGTCTTGCTCTTCTCTCCGATAGAACTATTTATATTCTTTAGATCTGAAAAAAATAAGCAATTTTCAACAGTCAGGTTCCCTTTGTTTCATAGGATTACTATTCGTTGGTCAAAACATGTGTTTTAAAAAAAAACATGTTGTGACTAGACTTGAGTGGTTCACTTTTGAAAAAGAACCAGCAAAATTGCAGGAAAACATAAAGAGGCAAACACAAAGGTAGTAGAAGCAAGTTTATTTCATTCACTACTTAAATATAGGATCAAGATTCACCTCACAACACACACTGTACACAAATCCCTTACAGCGAAACATACATTCAACAGCTGCTGATGCAAATCATTCGATTCGTCTTAAACGCACGCGACTGCTGATAAATAAAAGTGGACTTCTGGATGGATGGCTGCGGACGAGGAGGGCAGGACTACAACGGCAGCGAAGAAGTGTGTAGTGTCAGAATGTAGCATATCACTGGTGCGGATAGAAACACTTTTAAATGCTGGTTTTGCAGGTTCTAAACCACAAATGCTGTCTGTCTGATGGGCTCGAGTAAAGAAAACCACATGTCACTGAGTCCTGCTTGTGCCAGATACCTGAGAGCTGGTGCTAACGTGGGCCCAAACCACATCAACCAGCTGGTCACAGACTTGAGATAGGAACGGCTGTAAGAGACGTGTGAACGATCATTTCAACGCATCCATTTTTTCTGAAGACACAAGAGAGGCAAGGCAAGAAAAGCACACGGGGGGGTCACACGATCGCTGACCACTGGACGACTCGTTTGAGAGAAAAAGGTAAACCATGGCTGTGCTGCATGTGTGATGCCCTGCCAAATTAAAGTCTTTCCCCTCATTGAACTGAGGGCCCAGTTTTGGTAGCGCATGCTAATTGCCATTCATAATAAACACAATACAATATGAAAACTTTCCAGGAACAAATTACTAGAGGGAAAATAAAAGGTTACAAAACGTTTAAAAAAAAAAAGAGAGCTCACTGTACTCCCCCATAACACAATCTGCTCCCACAACCCGACAACTGGGGACAATAAGTAAACAATTTGAGCCTTGCTCTGAATACAAACAAAGGTTTAGTGCAGGAAGCCTCGAGTTAGCATCCACTGTTCCATTAAAATTCAGATTTTGGTCAATCTGATACATTCCCTTATCCTAATAACACTGTTTCTGCCCTTTTAAAAAATGCCGCAAAGCAGCAGGTCACAGCTGAGTGCGTAAAGCCGGTAAGATATTCACCCGTTTAGTGAACGTTTGGCTTACTGGTAACGATAAGTCTTTAAAGTTTTCATCTAAACCCATTTGATCAAACCATATGACAGTGAAGCCCATCAGTGTGTTAGAATAATTTAAAAAGATTTGCTGAGTAAAAAGACCAATGGCTAAAAACAAAAGCACACAACCCAGTGGCTTCTTTTTGCCATTTGAACATTTAGAATCTGACAGGGTTCCAAAATGCTGCTATAAGCCTTCTGGTGTCTGTATTTCATGGTTTCATAATATTTTAGAAAGCATCAACCTCTGAGCTGTTTCGTAAATGCTCAGAATCACCATCTCTAAAGGATTTGGATCAAACCTAACATATATCATGTCTAATTTGTTTTCTCTCATTTTGAAATTCATATTCAACGTAAAAACATTTAAAAACCAATCAAGTTTAACTTGAACACTTCATCTCTAACACTGGACATTTTTAGGTCAGCTGTGGATCGCATTAAAATTCTGTTCTGCTGGCGATGTATGCTGGGAATTCTCAACCATACTGCCCCAAAAGCAACATTTCACCATCTCAGATGGTCTTTTAAGAGAAATTAAGTCAGGTTTGCTACCCTAAGGAAAGAGAGAAAGAGAGAGAGAGAGAGAGGGAGAGAGAGAAAGAGGATGTTTAGAAGAAAATCTGAGTGTTGTTCGATCTTTCTTTGTGTGCTGCCCCCCCCCCCCCCCCCCCCCCCGTCACACAACTCTGAATCAAAGCTTTTAAGTAAGACTGAAGAGCCTGAGAATAATTATGTACATTTCAAAAACACACTCAATCCTTTTCGCTCCTATTTCCTGAAAGACTTTGGGGGAACAGAGAGATAAACACTTTTAACAAAACTGGGTTCACAACAGAAATCAGCAGGGGGGGAAAAAAGGAAAAGAAACCCAAAAAAAGAGTAAAAACATTTAAACGTACCAACTGAGTATTTCAGTTTCTAACAATGATGAATCCCTTTTACGCCTCAAGCGCCAAATAATGATCAGAATCCAGTGTCAGTCTTCTTACTTACTAATGGGTCAGAAGAGGAATAAAGCAGCATGTAAATAAATTAAAACTGCAACAGTCATGTAGTGTAGGGACGCATAATGCAGGAGGATGCAGCGGGGGTTCAGGACATGGAGGCAAAAGTGTGGGACTTAAAGAAAACTGAGGAAGAGGAGGAGGGGCTCACTCCGGAGCTCCATTAGCTGCTGCTGTCATCCTCTCTTCGTCTCCCTGTTTCTGATGCTGCAGCCGGGCATAGGTCACCGCGTCCCCCCTGTCAGAGGAAGGATGTGACGGGAGGATGCGAGGGCGGGTTGGGTGGTAGTAAAAAGGCGGATGTGTCCAGGTGGAGGTAGGGAGAAGCAAAGAAAAGGTAGCTTTGTCAGGAAAAGAGCCAGCTTCCACATTATGGTTTCCACACATCTCCCCTTATGAGGCTGATTAGCATAAATATATTAGGCTCAATGGGTTTGTTAGGCCTAAAACCAAAGCTGTGTTAGTACTTTTTAATATGGAATACTGAAAGCCTAAGGAGAGCCTGCTAATTGCATTGTAATGTGATCAAAATATCAAGAAATATGGGAAATTACATCTCTTTGCATTGCATGACACAGACTGATCCAGAAGTCTTACTTTTTGCCTAAGGATGCAAGGCCGTACAGAACCCCGGTGGCGAAGGCGATGGCGTTCCCGAACAGCGTTGTGAAGGAGAAGCTGAGAAACACGGGAAACAGGGCCATCCTGGAAATATGCGGCCGAGGTGACGGCCAGAGAGGAAAAGCATTCGGAGACGTGTTATGTCTGAGAGGACTGCATTCCCGGCACCACGTTTATCCGCTCATGCAATGTTAATCAGAAAAAAAAAGAAAAAAAAGGACTTTGCAGAGTGGTTCTCACCCGCAGTAGAAGAGGGCCTTCTGCCAGGGTTTGAGTTTGTCCGCACGGGCCGCCACTGCATTAGCGAACTCTATGAACTGGCAACAGAATGGGACCTCGCACAGGAACAGCACGAAGGCGTTCAACCTTCAAAAAGGAAGAGGAGACACGGGACAGCAGTGAATCGATCTGCGCACCTGTATACCGACTGAATGACGCTACTCAGGAGCAATAAAAAGTGAGAAGCACTAAGTGTGTGACGGCTTATTCCATGTAGGATTTCACCAAAGGGCCAACATGAACTCTAAAGTCCAGAAACGCTGGGGACTTACACCATCCAGACTCCAGCAGCGATGTTTAAAGGGTTCACGGTGACACAGTTCCACACTCCCGATACGGCACAGGCTGTGTTTTAATCAAGAGACAAAAAGACAAAGCAAAAGGGTTGTTATTGAGACGGGGGAAAAAAATAAATGCATTCCTTTTTTAAACAAACTGAGACATTTGTCAGAAAAGGTCTCCAAGAAAATAAGATCTTTACATTTTAAACACAAAAGCACTCACAGTTACAGACACTTTCAATAATATTATAATAAGCAATCATGATTATGTTGTTATTTTTCCTTGAAATTTAATCTGCCAATAACTTTCTGGATTGTTTCATGATCTCAGCAGAGGAACAGAGTGAAAGATGTCCCACACAGCAGATCAGTGAATAAGCATTATCCAGTGTTTCCAGCTCATATCCATGTGGAATTTACAAGGGACATGATGCAATGCTAGTTGACACTAGTTGAATTCATTCAATAATATTTTAAATAAAGTCTGGATCATGGGTTGTACATTTTGATAATGATGATAACTATTAACCACCCATTTCAAAGCAGATTTAATCGGGGAATATTTAAATAATGCACCCAGCTGTTTTAGCATCTCACAGAATAAAAAGCAACCCGTGAACTGGTGAAAAACAGCCGATTCACACGATACACAGAGAGGGGAAAACATTTGTGATTTCTCTGTTTGGACTGTTTTAATGGATTAGATTAGATTGGATCAGATTAGAATTAAATAGTCTGAGTATTTGTTTTCCACCACTGTTTAGCCATAAGTCCGAAGTGATAAGGAGGGCTCAGTTTGAAGGGATGAGTCCACTCTGTGGCAGACTATGGAAGAAAAACTAAACAAAACAAAACAAAACACCTTATCCTGCTTCTTTGGACTGTCCACCCTGCTCAATAATACAGGACCCATCGGATATGCAGAGGCTAATGTGACACTGGGGCCGGTGTCAGATGGAGGGCTGTTAGGAAACTCCTCAGCCAGCATTTAAAACAAAGAAATACTATTCTTTTCATATCACACGTGTCTCACTGAACTCCAAAAGGCCCCGTGTGCTCATAGCACTTGACTGGGAAGGCAAATATTTTGGGGGGGCTCGCCCCACAAACAGGCGTCGCCCAGCAGCTGTAGCTGCGTCGAGGCTTTTGTTTAGAGGCACTGTACACAACGTCTTACAGAGCCCAGGCTCAAAAAGGCTTCTCAGGCAAATTTTCCTGCTCCCCACCAGCAGAAAATAAAGGCCAAGTGCTCGTAACACATCTCCAACCGACAAAACGCTGGAAACTCGCCCACATTAACATCTGGAACGTCCATCTATTTAGTAGATGTGTCAGGAATTTGATTCTGGGTAATGGGTAATTCCATGAACTCGGGGGAAAAAAAGAGAAGTACTTACAGATTCCTCCCAAAACACCAGCTATTTTGCAGAGCCACCGGTACCACCAGGTCATGCCATCATCCTCCGGAACGGTTTTGTTCGCCGCGCTGGTCTCCTCGGCGTTCATTGTTGTTTGTCTAGCTACGTTTGCTAAAGCTACCCTAAAGCCGTTATCATGGATGTCAGCCTCAGACCACCCAATAATGCCCAAGATAAGTTTGCTAGTGGCGGTAAACTAACTGCTAACCGGCTTGCTCCGCTACGTTACGAAGCCAAATGCAATTTAAACTTTCGGACCTGTTTAAAGAACATTTACGTATAAAGAGTTCCCTCCCCTGCGTGTTCCTGTTGGGGGCAGCTGCAGGACGATACCAGCTTTCCACGCGGCTTCCCCCCGTCACACAGAGCCTGCTAACCGGCTAGCTGGTGCTGGAAAGCATCGCTACCAGCTGAGTGTGACGAAGCCAACCCCCAGTCGCTGTTTTTGTTGTGCGCCTATACAGGATGCATTACGGTGTTGTGTCAAAAAGTCACCGCCTGCCAGAAATCGATTAAACAGCCGCGGAAAAGCGCACGGCCTGTTAAAGTCGTTTCGTGTCTTTTTTTGTATGATCGACTCTTGATTTTAGACTTTAAAATTCATACTCAGTTTTGAATACTCATTTTGAAAAGAGAATCTAAATGGCAAACTACCGTCTCAGCCATTATTTTTATTAATAAATATCAATGTACTTTCAATAATTTATTCACACATCTATACATAATATACAACAAAACCCTCCAAAAATCATCTATGGCGTTCATGTGAGGTATTTGTAAGCAGATGTTCCATGTGTCCACCCAGATAGTGTTACTTCTCATATCCCTGTCAGCAGCTTTATAATGAGTGACAAAGAAGACACAGAGCTAAAAAGTCTTCTTCAGGCCATCAGTAATTAGGAGGAGGTTGAATACTGGAGCTATTTTGATATTCCTTAAAGCTATAAGAATTTTCTTTATTTCAAGGCTGCAGCCTTTTCTAATACATAACTTTTAATTAATCTGTCTGACTAAAAGACTTCATATTTTTTAAAGCTGGCAAAAGCTCTCTGATCGTTGCCATTGCAGTAGAAAAATGTTTTTGCTTGCATCTGTAAGAGAAATACTGTCAGTTCCCATCACTGCAGTGGTAACAGAGCTCATGATTACAGGATATAAAGCTGCTGACATTCCTTTTTAGGCAGTCTCTTGAAATAAAGCCAATTGTATCCGACCGGCTATGGCTTCACTCAGACAACAGAGTGGACTGTAAAGGTTTCAGAGTCCTCCGGCTGATCCTCCTCTCCTCCTCCATAAGAACAGGTGTCCTCTTCCCTGTTGGTGTGCGGCACAGCATATTATCGAGGGTCTGCTGAGTCACCTGACCAGCTCGCTCTAACTGTGTCAACAGCTTCTCCAGCTTTGTCTTCAGCGGCCTGCCGTCGCACCGCAGACGGAGCAGATCAACCTGAAACAGGTCAGCAGAGGCCACAAGGTCATCCATCTGAGAATGACTCACACTATTCCTTTAGTTTTTTGTTCATCAAAGTGCATCTCTCAATCACTGATTTGTTGTCAAAAGTACAGGCACAATACATTATCTGTTGTTTACTTACCACCTCCTGTGAAAACTCAGGCTTTTTCACAAAATGTGGACTTTTAGGCGACATAGCAGCTGAAAGAACAGAAATGACATCTGCAATTTCTCCCGCCATAGCAAGAATTATAACCTAGAACACAAAAAAACAAAAAAATAAGTATGAATGACTGTACGATAAGTTAAAAAATTATGTACAGAGCAACCACATGCAGCGTGTTTACCTTAAAGTTTTGGCAGAGTTTGCTGTCATTGTTCATAATTTGATCAAAGCACTTCCTTGCCTTTTCTAAGTCATTCTGAAAAAAAAGAAAAAAGAAAGGAAAGAGATAATATTACAGCCTTCGTCACATATTTCTGCATGTATGAATAGAGGGAATAAAAAAGACTGAACTCACCCGCCGAAGAGCCAATGCGACAGCAAAGCAGTAGGCATGTCTGGGGATGAACCAACCTTTGGTTTTTTCCTCTTCTATCAGAGCAGAGCAGATCCTGTATGACTCTGCTGTATTCTGATTAAAGATTCCAAAGCATCAGCTGTAATTGAATACACTTCTTGGCACTCTAAAATTAAACCATATTAAATCTGCAGGGAAAACAGTCAATGCCATACCAGCTTATAGCAGGTAGCGGTCGCTAGCGTAATGGTGTCTTTGTTGAATGCTACACCTTGATTCCTCATTGTCCTTAGCACATCCATAGCACCTGTGGTAGACAGAGATGGCAGTTATATGAATGTGAGACATAAACAATAGAGAAACTCAAAGATTTGTCTGCCGCTTACTTTCATATGAGCCTTTAATGAATAGCATGTCAATGGCGATGTTAAAAGAAGTCGTATCGATGAAAAATCCTTTCATTTTCTGAAAATACAAAAGAACGGAAGCATTTTCTGTCAAACCTGAAGTTGTTTTATGTTTCTCATCTATCTATTCATCCATCTGTAATATTTACCTCATCTGTTATTGATGTGGCAGCCACTTCCTCCAGACCCAGCTCATAGCAGAGCCTCATGAAGAGAGGACCAAACTTAAAGTCCCCATACAACAAGTTACGGTTCTCTGTGTGGTACCTTTTACATATAAAATAAAGAATATTTGGTCATTAATGATAGTCAAATACATTTTCTTCTCTGTAAAGATGAAAATTAGAATTTAACTCTTCTTTCTCTGTTTTTTTTAAATGCATCTAATTTAACACGTAGTTTACCTATAGATTGCTTCTCTGGCTATCAACATGTCATCTGAGGTTTGGCAGAGATGAAGAAGAAGCTTCAGTTCATCTCGCAGAACCAGCTCATTCCTTTGCATTTTCTGTTTGAACAGCTCAATAAAGTTTCCTGTGGAATAAAGGGGATGCATAAGCTATACATGAAAACGCAGCTCGTGCCACTGTGACGACAACCTCTTTACCTTCCGATCCAGTGACAAGGTGAGCCACAGCTAGCTTTCGTTGCTGGAAGTCTTGCAGTTTGACAACATCTTCTGTCAACAAATACCTCTTGGCTGAAGGGAAAAAGAAAGACCATTTACCCAAGACCAGTTGAAACTATTTCTCCATAAATGACCAACTGACAGATGCTTGATTCAAACTACTTTTAAAATTTAGAGAGGATGTTTATAGCTCTAGTCAAAGTTCTAAAAAAACACCCCCAGATCTAGCCCATGTTCAATGGCTGGAACTGTGACCGATGTTCCAAATTCAGGTTGTCTGTAGTCTACTACGGTCAGCAAGTATGAGTGAATTATCTGATGAGGCCAAGCTCATAGAAGGGCAATTTCTGAAGCATTACTAAATTGTACAACTGCACATACCTCATGGTAAATATCATCACATTGGTTATTTTTCCTGCAGTGCCTTTGTTCATGTGAAGTAAAGCACTGTAAGAGCCGGACCTTTACATGTACCAGTCACCTGTGACATTATTAAACAACCTAGATGGAAGGAAAACTTCTTCCAGGTCTGATTAAGCTACAACGTGCGTGTTATCTTTGCTCACGTGAAGATAGTTTAGTGTTTGCTTTGCTAACTTCTTTCTGTCTGCAAAGCAAAACAGTTTTTTTCATTCACTTTTGTTTGTGGCAGTCATGCCTGCCTTTTCCCTTACCTCCGACGCATCTTTCGATCCAGTCTGGCTGTAACACAGCACAGGGCAATCCTTTATTGTGCTCAAACATCAACGACCGACACCATTTAGCAGCAAGTCTTCTCAGCAGCGCCATGTTGCCCACTGACTGAACCATTAAAAAGGAAACAGAGGGGGGGGATTCGGAATGATATTGAGTTGCTTGATAAAGGTTGGATCTCCAAACCACAATTATACAGTTAAATATTTAAAATGGTCAGAAAAATGTAGCATGGAACAAATACATTATAATATTCGTCAATACCGTGTTAAATCGTAGTTTTTATTTAGTATAATCCAACATGGCGCCATCCCATGTTCCGGCGAACGATATATTTATTAATGGTTCAAAGTTTTTGGAGGGCAATTTAAAAAAAATGTACTCTCATTCCGCTGACTTTTTATGTTAAAAGTTGGACAAACGTAACTGGAAACTCCATGAAATGGACGTTTTGGTTAGTGACCGTCACTTTATGTTCAGAGTTTAACCTGCAGGTGGTGCTGCTGCACTCATCAAGTCCATAAAGAGCGGCGTGAAATGTATGACAAAGCATCAAATCAGGAAATGTCTCTGACTTGGTGCATGGTCAAATTATGATAATATTTCTTTCAACTTGTGGCCTGTTAGACCTCACCTTAAGCTTGTTTAAAAAATATGTTATTCACATGTGCCCATATGTCTATATCATCCATACGTGATGAGAATGATAAGCTTGAAAAAGTACTTGTTAAGCAATAAATATAATGTGCAACAATTATTTAAATTTTTTTAATATTATTTTAATGATTATATTTTGTGCTTTTAATGTAATTATTTTTTCCACTCATACTGAATTGAACTGATGCCTGTTGCATAATTTCAACATGAAAAAAAGTAATATGTTGTAATTGAAAGATTGATATATTGAATATTTTTTTAACAGATACAATTCTTATTTAAAAAAAGTAATTTGGCAGTCATGCTGTTATGCATGTTGCATCAAATTATATTTTAATCTCATGCTTTCAGTCTAAATTTGTTTGGAAAAAGTCACTAATTCGTTTCAGACTGTCCTCGAATGCAACAACAGTTGAGGAGTAATTGGGTGACAATATAATTTATGAATAGGGTTATCACTCTGGATGTTCACCCACCAAGTACCATAAACAGAGTGCTGTTTGAAACACCATCTTCTGCCACTTCATGTTAGTGTACTTACCCACTGACCTACACAGGATTACATAACAAAGGACATGCATCCTTGGAATACATTTCTGGTGCATTTTGTTTGCAAGGGCCCCATATGGATCATGCCTTTAAAATACAACTTTAAGAATACTGAAATGCTGCTTAAAACTGTTGATTTTTTAAAAGTACTTTGTGAGTAAATTTTTAATCTTAGAATTTGCCTGATCACAGCATCCATAGAATATTTTAAACACATGTTCCAGTGATTATAGTGTCTTCTGACTCTGACAAATAATTTTGCACTTGGAAAATGGGGTTGGGGACAGGGAGGTTCCCCACTGTTGCCTTGGTAACACAATCTCAGCCCATCCTGCTGAGGTTGCCTGCTCAACCAATCAGACAGTGTGTTGGATAATTTATGGTATACTGCAGGGTGTATGAGACTGTAGATGTCTCTATATCTCTATAGCTATATCAGTATGTTTGCACAGATTGAAATTCTGTTACCACAATTTTTTCTCCTTTATAGCAACATATTAAGGGCTTGGTGAGGCGGTGGCCCATGTGAGGTCGCTCAATAACCAAGAGGGAAAACATTACACTGTTTGCGGGGGCTTTATTCAAACATGCAGTCTCTTATTTCCCCTGACACACAGCCAAGTTCTGCTGACAGGTTGTAGCCCTTACATCTTCTTTGATTTATCCTTGCATGCACTTCCCTTTGTGCCTCGGGTTTCTCATCATCATTAACAAATGTCCCCACTGAAACGGTTTTGGAGCCAAATTAAAACAGCTGGTACTGTTTGGTGGCTGTGCCTCACTAACAAAGCCACTGCCCTTGAAAGACAATTATATCTTCAATCTGAAAGAAGATGTCCGTTGATATGCAGGCCGGTTCAATCTGTTTCCAATTTTGTTCTTAATGATGAAAACCTGTGGCTTTATTGTGAGTGGAGGAATGACGGGGACCTTCTCATTTTCATCGTTCATTAATTATGTAACACAACAGAAAAGGGAAAAAGCTGCAGACTTACTGGTGTGCAGTATATCTGCTAAAACAGCTCTGACAGCCTGGCATACAAGGTCAGTACTCTTGCTGTGAGTCACGGGAAGCAGTGGCACATCACTGTAAAACAAAAGGCTCCTAAATTATGGAGACAGGTCCGATTATCTTGATGTGTTGCTCCATTCCTGTTTTGCTTTGCTTTCTGAGTCAGAATTCCTGGGGTGTCTGGCAGGTCACAACACACACAGAAAATAAACACATGCAGGGGATGGCCTTTATTTTTAATTTAAATTTAGATTTTAAACACCAATTTACACAGTTTTGACACATCAACTGATAATACATTGAGTGAGACACACAGTTTATGGTTATCAGTATTGTTATAATTTCTTGGCCAGTTTAAGAAACCCAGTTTTTCTAAAAACCTGGGCATCTGACTTAGATTTTTCCTGAATGGATTTGTTCAAGATGAATCAGTAAAGTAATCACAGAATGTCCCCCAATACGCACCGGAAAATGTAGAACTGTGCAGGAAAAAAGAAAAACATTTGAACTTAATAGACTGAAATTGAAAAAGTGCTGTGTTTGCACTTACTTTTGAAGATTAAAACTAATGTATCCCATGATGAAAACTGAGAAATTACGTTTCTCACAGCAGTTGCAGACACAATGTCGGCACGCCAACAATACATTTTCTGATTGGAAATGTGGATGGTGAATTTTCTATCTAAAAAATGATCGTGAAACATTTGAAAAGAAAACTAGTTAAAAAAGTAAGAATACAATTATAACAATTGTCACCGCTGATGATCACAGGTTGGCTCTAATGTGAAATTATTAAATGAATCATTCTGAATACTGATGTAATATTACTTGAGTTTATCCTCTGTACTAAAACACAAGCATTAAACTAATTTCTGATGCTTTTATCGAGAAAACTTTATTTCTGTGTTTTTTAATATTTCTCATTTATCAACTTCTGTGATTTCTTACATTTTAATGGTGTTTCCTTTAAGGATTTCTCTGCAAAACGGTGGTTAACACTTTATCCTGCCGTAACTTACCCTCACACAAACAAACAAAAAACAAACAAAAAAAGAAATCAACTTGCCATCAGATCATTTCAATTTATGCACCTTTAAAGTCAGTATCATACACATTATAGAGAATAGCATCTGGCTCATCTGCATGAGGAAGGAAACTAGCAAAATAACTGTCTCGTTTGTCGAACAAGACTTATTAGCCTGATCTGAAACTCTGTATGGACAGAAAAGTAAAAAACATCAGTCTGATTTTTTTTCACAACAGATTTTATTGTGGTTGTTTTTGAGTGTTTGTTCTTTAGTGGTTCGTCTTACGTTAGATTTGCCATATGGGTACATTAGAGGAGGAATTGCACACAAACATCAGAAAGCACTAATGAATATTTTTCACTTGAAACTAATTGCTATCGCTTACATATGAGTTTGGGAAAAAGGGCAGAGAGGATGCAAGACTACAAGACAAATATACCACACGGCTGCAGACAAACATTATTAAAGTTCCCCCGAGAGAAAGATGAGGAGAAAAGGCAGATAAATAGTCATAGAGAGAAAGAGAGAAAATGCAAGGACAGAAGGCAGAGAAAAGAGAAATATCAGTCCGAGAGAAGTGTCAGTTCAGCTTGAAAGTAAGTCTGTGGTAATAGTTTGAGTTTCTCCTGCAGGAAAACCAGTCTGTGGTATCATGAACACCTAACGTCATTTTAGAAATATCCTCTGAGGTCGGTGAATCCACTGAGTAGCGCAAAATACTAAAGCCTGTAATCATCATGTGGTGATTTGTTAAATGTTTTTCCAGAAGCTGGCCTGTCAGAGTTGATCTACAGCATGGCCTCTGTACTGTTTGTTTTGCATGTGTCTTGTTTGTTCTGTAAGGTTTTTGTTTTTCACAATTTCATTGAAAACAGACAAGTCAGCCTCTGTCTCACCTCTGTGTGCTGCCTTCCCTTAATGACTACGCCCCCTCTAGAAGCTGACTCACTGGCATTCTGGCCTAAATCTTCCGTATCAGTCCAGAAATCTCCAACATCCCGCACTCCAAAGATAGTGACCCCCGGCAACCACCGACGTTTGTGTGGTACATGTGTCATGGCACAACCAGCAAAAATCAGAATGTTCCTTAGTTATTAAAATTAATTCTATGCATCCCTGCTCTTAATTCACAGGTCTGAGCAAAACCCCCATTTTAAAAAAAGAGAAAAATCCTAAAGTAGCATAACTCATGCATGCCTCTCAACCACTCCATTGGCCACAAAGCTATTTATAATTATAGTACAATGCTTTTAGAAAAACAAGACATTTTAAGGTTTATGAAAATATCCTGCTTCACCAGCTATACAACAGGGAATCTTCCCAATAGCTCACTGATTACATAAAAAACATTTATAAGAAATCATATCAATTTCTTGCCTCCTGAAAGAATCTGAATTATTAACTCAAACTGATAACCTGAAACTAAAAGCTGTCCTCTAAAAAGATTTTACAGATGTGAAAAAAGCATGGGAGAGCACAATGAAGCTACTTCCTGTTGCAAAGTATCCGGACAATCAGTTTAAATCTTACATTAGAAATCATTTCTAATACATCAGCAGCAACGTAAAACAGGCAAAAACAGACATTGACGGAATAATAAATAAAACCTAGCAAATGTAACAACGTAAGGAAAAGTTTCATTAGCAGCACTCTGGCTCCCTTATGATGAATAAGATGCTTAGAGACCATTCTAACGCTCATCATAGTCGTGTGTCCCTTTAATGTATCTGCGTAGTTTCACTCTGTCATTACTAAAATGTCATTTTGGGAAAAACCTCAGTTGTTCCGGGTTACCTTTCCAACTTTATGCCAGTTCCTCTACATTCATTTTGAGTTGCTAAGGCAGTGACACACTTTCTGTTTTGTCCTTTGGTGTACAAAACAGCCATTACTTGAATAGACAGGAAATGCAGGATACAATAGCTCCTGAGTGCAAAGAAATTGATTCAAAGCTTCAATATATGTTGATCTGGGGATTCAGGCAAAGCTCAATACATCAACAACAGCTTTATTGGAACTATATACGAATCAGAAAAAGTGGACAATCATGGTTATGCTGGTTAATTTGATTACTTCTCCTCTATTCGATCTATTTCTATCATAATCTGGTCACAGTTTCAGTATTTCTTTCTTGTTGGTCAATACTTCTTGCAGGTTTTTCATTTGGTGTTTTCAAAGGTCTTCTCAGGCTTAATGCTACATGGATTTAGTTTTCTCCCCACAGAAAATGATCACTCCTGATCTCTGGCAGAGCAGGCTCACATCTTCATCTTACATCTCTATCTTACAAGCTGGGAAGGACTCGTCCTGCATGACGACGGTGCTGCTGCTGGCTAGGACCATGATGTTCAGCTCCTGCTGCTTGTCGTGGGTCTCCTGGTACCACTCCCTCATCACGTCCGTGTCGTGGGTTGGGATCAGCGTGACCTGACACCAGACACAAAGACATTTTTAAATGTGTGCATTACAACACACAAAATCTGTCAGGTTTCTTTGCTGATCATGAAGATTTCTTATCAAACACCACACTCGTCACTGAGATATGACTGATTGCATCCACAAATTTGTGGTTAGCCATTTTGTGGCCTTGAGTTTACCATATTGTCAGTCACCACTGTGTTTTTTTTAATGTCAGATTATAAAAATGGGTGGAGGATTTGACTGATTACAAAAGAAAGGAGGGATATTAAGTTGTGGCTTCTCAATGAGAAGGCAGCCACACCGAGAAAATAATTTTTTCATCCGAGTAGAATGCAAGGTAAGAGCTGTTTGAAGAAAACAAGCTTCAAAGGAAAGGATTGGAATCCTCCCCTTTGAAGCTACTGTAACTCTGGGACATATTTCTGTACCACAATACCTTTGGGACTAAACCTTTATTGCGACACCTGATTATTCAATAGTACTAAATGTGATTTGTGTGAAGAGCTATGAGGGCATGAGTGTGAGTGAGAGCAGCGCATGACACATCTTCTTCTGATGAGGCTTCATCTTTCCTTTTATAGCCACTAACCCTGACAATAAAGTAATGTTCTATGGTATTTCATTCTTATACAGGGTTAGAAAAAAACTGATACAAAAACTCATGCAGGCAATGCTTTACTGAGGATGATAGATAGAATAGCAGTCTTTTCCACAATCATATGTCTTTCTGGAACCAGAAACAGCAGACAGAAAGCAGGTTTAAGAGCCCTTTCGTTTATTCTTTAGATTAACTTCTGTATATACAGCATATAAATAATTACAAGCAATATTTGCAAGATCACTGGTTGATGGAGGATAGAAAGTCCATAGCTAGAGTTGGAACCCTAACCTGAACCCTGACTAGTTCCAAATTCGGAGTTTTTAAATGTTATATTTTTGGATTATTCAAATGAATCATTGAATTGGTACTTACTTGTTTGTTGTTTCCCCATTGGGCTTTTCCTTCCAGCAAAGCATCGAGGACAGCCCGACTGGGTTCCTGAGCTGTCTGATCATTGCCACTGACCACATAGTAGGAGGCTCGCACACGTTTAAAGAATTCAGCATCCACATTTTTGGCACTGCAGTGATTCGGGATGTAAACCAAATCCATGTACATGGGAGGACAGCTGGGCAAAGAAGATGCTTTTCCACTAGCCGTGCCTGGAAAACAGTGGAGTTTTGTAAGATAACATTTCAGCACCATTAGAAAGGAACAACATTAATATGAACAGAGTTAGTGCTCACCTAATGTGGTGCTTTTCACACCTCTGGATGCAGAGGTATTGGTTGCATTCTTGGCGTCTTTCCCTTCTCCCGCACCTTTCTTAGGAGAGGCAGTCTTTGAGTCCTTCACTTTTGACAGAGGGACCTTTCTTGCAGGCGATGAAGACTTTTTTGAGAGCTTTTTCTTGCTGGACTTCTCTCCTCCATCCGTATTAGCATTGTGAAGGTTTTCTTCTGCCTTCAGTGCCTCTGGGTCAACCATGCACACATCATGGTGGCCTGAAGATGGAGCAGAGTCCCTGAGTGCAGCTGGAGGAGGATCGGCATGCCTGTAGGTCAGAGTTCTGTCAGTTGGCAGAGTCTCCGAGTCATCTTCGGAGTCAATGTTTGCATCTGCTGTAATGGAGGGGCACTCCTCTGTCCCTGGTGGAACATCAGAGTCTGTCTGAGAGGGGGCCGATTCGCTGATAGATGTGGGAGGCGTCTCTTCGCATTGTTTAGCACAGTGCTTTCCTCCTGGCGGTGGAGGCCCTGCACCAGACTTGGCCAAAGGTCTTTCTCCATCTAAAGCATTCTCTTCATTGATGAAATATTCAAGAGGATTCGGATTGATGAAAGATGGGGACAGTTCAGTCTTGGGGTGACGGTACTCACATGAGGTCACAAGGCAGATGTCAACATCATTTTTGGATGGTGCACAGGGGCTCCTCTTTGTGGAGTTTGGGTCCCTGGAACCACATGCAGTGTTGTAACAGTGTGCATCAGAAGAGAGAGGTAGACTACAGGGTGAAGGGAGTCTTGGATTAAGAGGAGACTTTTTCTCATGATCAGAATCCTCACTTTTAAAAGGATTAGTGTCCTTGGCTGGGGAAATAGCATCTCCTTTTGAAATATTCAAAGAAGAGGATGGGGAAGAGACTTTTGGAGGTGAGGGTGACTTGTCATATTTTTGTTGTGTGTCAGATGCAGCTGAACCCTCACCAGATGGGCTGGTGCTTTCCATAGCCGGGAGGCCTCCTAGCACAGGGGACGGCTCAGTTGAATGGGGAGAAAGGGTAAGAGACGATGCTTTTGGGGTGGCTGGAGACTTATCTGTTTGCTCACCCACAGCGTGTTGTATCTCTGTAATTTGACATGGGGTTGTAACCGAGGGAGTTGACTGGGATGCGTCTGAGGGGGTTGCAGAGGTGGCACGGGCTGAGTCACCCTCTTCAAAAAGCAAAGTGTTCTCCACTGCAGATCTGGGATCTCCTGATGCTTTCACCTCTGCTCCATCTGACGGGCTGTAGTCAATCTCGGTTGGGCCATTCTCTGTGGCACGTGAGCTGCTTCCTATTGACTGGTGCTCAGGGGATTGCTTACTGAAATCCAGCGCTAACGAATGGTCGGGAGACTCCTGGCCAAATTCAATTGACATAGTGGAATGCTCTGGAGATTTTGTGTCCTGTGCCCTGCTTTTTGCCTTTGGTGAGATGTCAGGGGAAATAGACATGGGCCTTGGACTGTCTTCCTTTGTTGGAGATCCCTCAGCCTCATGGAAAGTAGTTGGAGTCTGAACCATTGAAACGGATAACGAGTCGTCTACCTCGGTTGAATGAGGAGAGCCAACCTCAGCATGAAGGGAAGGTGAATCTGTAGTCGGTTCTGGCAATGAACTGGTGGCCAGAGAGGCTGTGGACGCAGAGGCAAGACGTGAAAATGTGTCTTCTGCCACAACTTCCTCTAGGGGCGTTCCAGACTTGTCTGAGGCTGTGCCCTCTGAAATGGACATCTTGCTGTCTTCTTTGAAACCGGCAGAAGGATTGGTGTCAGATTCTTGTTTGGTCACTGATGCTGTAGACATGATTAAGTTGCAGTTTTCTTCAAATTCTTGATTTTTGGGATCTATGTCAAAAGGCGACTTCTCCTTCTTTATTGGGGATTCAGGCTCAGGTGGTGGTGGACTCTTGGGAGGGGACACTACCCTCTCCACTTGGGAGGAATGTTGAAGTTGAGGCCCATTTGGCTCAGGGGTAACTCTGCTGGAGGAATCCTCTTTATCACTTGTGACGTCCACAATGACCGGACCCTGTGCCTGGTCTTCAGACTCAGGTTGTAGACATCCTACTTTCTCATCTACTGGTGACTGATAGTAGGGTGTATGACCTGAAGACTGAGGGGAGTTTGCTCCGTCCATTGTCTTGTCGTCTGGGCTCATGGAGGAATCAGCTGCTGCCCTGGTGCACCCTGCCAGCGTTGAGGAGAGTTCAATTGGAGCAGCAAACAAGGACGGAGGCTCAAATTTGTCTTTGCATTCCACTGAGGGAGAACGAACAAAAGGTGATGTTGTGGCTAATGAGCTGAGTCTGGCTGAATCAGTCTCATATATGCCATGTGACTCTTGATTTGTGGCAAATCCTTCAGCTTTCTCTTCCAGAAGGAACTCTTTACAGAATTTATCCTCTTCTAGTGATGAAGGGGGAGATATTGTTGAAGCAGAATGGCTGTAGTCTTGGCCCTCAGTGGCCGCACTATGAGAGTGATCTGCCCCTGGCACATCCTGAAGCGGAGAGAGCTTCTTTTTATCAAACTCCCCTGATGCTGACTTCCCAAACCTGCCGACATCCTGTGATGGAGATTCTGTCTCATCATTGGTGGCTTCATCACTCATCATGTCCCTTGGAGTCAACATCTCATCCATGGGAGTAGGCACACTAGAGATTTCAATGGTGGACTGAGTGTAGCCTGATGTGACAGTATAATCCTCAGGGGCCTCATCTCTGTTCTCATCATCTGAAGCCACAGAGCTCTCAAAGCCAACTGGAAGCACTTCATCATGGATAGACACAGCTGGTGAAACTGGTGAGGACACTTTGGGTGAGGCTGAAACAAACATCATTTGCTTCTCAGTTTCTCTGGGACTTACATGCTCCTCTACCACATTTTTGTTAGTCAGGTCTTCTTCCTCAACACGCTCTTCTTGTTTCACTTTGGTTTGGTGGTCATCTGTACTAGAGGTGGGCTCATTTCTGCCTAGCTCCACTTTCTGTGGCTCATAAACTTCTTCTGTCTCTCCCTTCTCCTCATAATCCCCTCCCTCTGAGGTCTCCTCCATTACGGTGCCCTCATCTTCAAACTTCTCAGATACACTGCCGTTGAGTTTTCCTTTAACTGCTTGCTCTTCTGGAGTCTCTTCATTATCTCCTTCAGCCTCAGTTGTTGTTATACCCTCATCCACAGACTCTAAAGCCTCTGGTGACTCTTTGGTCTGTATCACATCTTCATGGGGGATCATTTCAGCCTCTCTTTCCTGGTTTTGTTGAACAGTTGCATCATCCTCTATCAATTCTTCTGCTCTCAGCTCCTCAAAGTCTTTAGTGAGGTCCTCTGGTGAGGACATCATGGATCTTTCTACTTCTGGATCCTCTGTGATGGCAGCAGCACTCGCTGCCACAATGCTACTATCCACCTTTGTCTCCTTCTTTGTCACCTTTGACTTTCCTTTCTCTTTCAATTTGGATGCACCTGCATCCTTCTTTGATGTGTCCTCTTTCCTCAGAGGCTTTGGTTTGAGATTTTTCTCTTCGCCTGCTGTGGATGCCTTTTTTACATCTTTAGAGATTCTTTTCACATCTTTCTTTAGCTCTTTCTTTTCTTCTTTTTTCTCTTTCATAGGCGAGTCTCTTCTGATGTCTTTCTTCATAACTTTCCTTCCCTCATCTTTCTTCACTTTGTCATCCTTTTTAACATCTTGTCTGGCTGTATCCTCCTTTTTTGAAAGATCCTTTTTAACCTCCTTTTTCTTCTCCACTGATGTCTTAACATCCTTTTTAACAGTCTTTTCAGCTTTGGGCTTTACTTCAGACTTCTTCTTTTCTGGAGTTTCACTTTGGGCAGTTTGATCCGCCTTTGCTTTTGATTCTTTCTCAGTCGCTTTCACCTTCTCTCTTTTCAGTGGTACCTTCTCTTTTTTGTCTGTCTTTTGCATTTTTTCATGGGTTGATTCTGCATCTATCTTTGCCTTTTCAGGTGTTTCCTCCTTTGACTCTTTTCGAACGGTTTTGCTCGGTGATGGCTTCGGAGTGGATTTCAGGCTCTCTTTGCTGTCAGTTCTGTGTTTCATCTTTGCTTGCTTTAATGTCGGTGTTGAAGGCAAACTAGTGGACATAGTTTTTGGAGTGACAATTGGCTGCTTCAAGAAATCAAGATGCTTTAGCTTCTCTAGGCCCTCAAAGATGTGTTGCTGGGTGGCATTTCCAGGAAAGAGAACTCGAATGACCTTATCTGAGGGATTCGCAGGGTGCCAAACAATGAGCGAAGAGACCGAGGTCAAGTATGACAGAGGGAACTCAGATTCTTTTCCATTTGGAAGTAGAATGGAAGTTGTGTCTTTTTCAGTTCCTGTCCACTGCTTCATAAAGTGCTGCATCTCCTTGCTATTCTTGGATGGATTGAGCACGTACATCTCCAGCTTCCCCACACCCATTTTCTGAAAAAGTATGATTGGTTCTATCGTGTTCCCTACTGGCCTTTGCAAAGGTTCAATCCTCAAATTCAGCTTGTTGAGGAATTGCTGGGTGATGGCAGCCTCCTCAACATTTCTGCGCACTCGGTAATTTGGTTCTGGATTATCCAGGTTTTCAGGAAAATTCACAAACACAACGCCAATGTCTGGAGAAATCATGTTTTTTACCCAGTCACTGTTACCTGTTGAACCCTGTGACTGTTCCTCCTCCAACTCTGCAGTCTTCCTCTGCAGCATGCTATTGATGCCTGGCAGATTGTCATCACCAATGTGGGTCAGAAGGATAGAGTCTACCCGGTCTAGATGTCTCACCAGCTTCCAAAAGCAGGATTTCCTGTCCGAGCCACCATTAATGAGCATATTGAAACCATTCACAGCAAAGAGAGCAGAGTCACCGTGACCACCAGGGAATATATAACAGCATGGTTTGGAGAGTTTGAGGAATCCACCTGAGGTTGGAGGTTCTAACATGTCAAAAGGAGATGGGATCTCGACTGATTCAGACAGATACTCTGTGAATTCTGAGAGGCCCTCCATTTCAGGGAGGATGAGACTGGAGTTTAGTTTCATGTTAATGAAGTCTTGAAGATTGTGTTTGTCCAAGTTGGAGTTTTTCCAGTCGCCTTGGTCGGGGCAAGAGAGTGTAAGCTTGGCTTTGTTAGCTGGGTGAATGGTGCTGAGCAATTCACCAATCTGTTAAATGAGTTGAGAATTAGTATCTCACTTATTATTTTTCATACTTGTTTTCACTTATCAACCACAAAAACTTTGGGAAAAGAGATATATTGACATGATGAAGATAGCTGTGTTGCTTTCAAATAAACTTTAAGTATAGTTGGTTTCTAGAAATTGTAGTTTAAATTAAGATACCCTCTGAATGGATACAAATACAAGGATTGTTAAGCTGAAACTGGAACCAGAGATGGTGGTGGTCTGATATAAACTGTCTTGTTAATTTATCTTTCTCTTGCTAACACTGCACCACCTGTGCAAGAGGCGTGGCATGTACAATTTTCCTTCATGTTGAACCAAGGGCTGACTGAACTAGATTTTCATCCTCTAGCTAAGAAAAGAGAACAAAATGTGAACCAAAAAACCAGACTGTACAATGAGTGAACTGAACTGCCTAATCTTTCCAAGTGTTGTTGGTATTTTACACATTGTCTGTCCTGATATTTCTGTCACAAAAACAGTTGGAAAATAAAAACACTGAGTAGGAAAAAGACGTTGTTCTCAGTCGTAAATGACTTATCGCTGGGAATATCTGGGATGAAATCACATCTGGGAAAATGCCAGTCAGTCATATGTGTTTATCATTTGCAAGCTTAGATGGGAAATAGCTGGTGAGTCACGTCTTTTTAATACTTGCTAAGTCAGATGTGATTTGCAAAGTTGCTTCCATTCCAGCTCATGTGCATTAAGTCAGTAAACACCGGCTCAAGCTGGAGTATAAACTCTTTTTGTGCATTAGTGGACATTTCGTTCTCTTTCTCAGGAAAACACATTTACCTTCTCCATTCAACTTTCATATCCACATCTTTAAAAAAAGAAAACAGCAGATAGAGAGGCATAGGCCAGCCAAGAGTACAAGTACTGGTAAATAGTTTTCCACAAGATTATATTTTTTTCACAGGAAGACAAAGACATGACTAATGTCTGCCTTTCACTGCCTAGCACTACATGGGTTGGTTAGTTAAAGCATCTTTAACTGATGCCTCCTGGAGTTTAGTAGTAGATGATAAATAATAGAGCGTAAATGCTGCTGGTGCATTTTTGGATCAGATAAATATAGCTGAGTACTGTTAATTGTTATTTTTCCTAAGACATTGTTTAAAACGATTTTTTCCAACAAAAAATGCTGTTGAAATGAAGAATAAAGCAATATTACACCAATTTAAATTAATCAAATAGATATAGCATGGGTTTGGAAAATGAAAAGGGATCTTTTTCTCAGACCTCAAACTGTAAATCATCTGTGTGTTTGCTTGCTATATGCATTTTTTTGGTCACCATATTAAACTTCTCACCTCTGGATCAGTGAATATGTCTATGAAGTTAAAGAAAGAGAACGATCCAGACTGAAGAATCAGTTCTCCGGTGTTTTCAGAGCATTGCCCTGACAGGACCACAAGTTTGTGCCTGGCAGTGTCTGAGATCATCAAACGAACCTGGAAATCAGAAGAGGAAAATAGCTTTTATTTCAGTTTTTGCGACAAAAGCAAATACATGAAAACAAACTCAGAATATCCATACAGTGAGGAGAATTTGAATTTTTAATAAATGGCGGCTGCTCCAGAAAGACAAGAAATCCCATACAGTAGCATTACAAATCCGCTTAATGATTTAAGTGTATTTGAATTACTACATGTTCAGTGTCACTCAAATCCATTAAGTAATTAGCCATCGTGCTGTCGAGCTGCACGCCCTGCTAAGATTCCCTCCATCCGTGGCCTTTTCTGCCTCTTCTCCTCTGCTGGTCTTTCATTCTACTTCAGCTGGATCAGCTGCTCTGGGCGACTGGCCCAGTCAATCCTGCTGCGCTGTGAGTTATTATTAATGCACAGTTTGACTGCAGACACGGCTGGGGGGTGGAGACAACACTCAAAAGAAGCAGTGACACAAAAGAAAATCATGTGTCATCTTTGCTCCTCATCTTGTCACCCTTTCCTCACATTAAACTGGAAATCAGCCAAAGGATGTACTTGTATTTCTCGCTGTGAACTCAGCGTTTATGTAGTCCAGCGAATAAAAGATTTTTTTTTCTTCCTAGCCACTGAACTGAATAATAACAATGTAGGTTGTTTGCCCTAATGGATCTGAGAAACACTTATTTGAAAAGCGATAAAATATCAAGTTATGACACATCAGGAAAAAAAACGTATTCAAAGAAAGACAACAATAGCTGGAGCTCATTTTACCTCAGTGCTGACAGCTTCATCTGAAGGGTTAATAAGGACCACCGTCTCGAGGATATTACTCTTATGGTGAAGAATTCTCTGCCCTAAAAATGAACACACACAGAAAATATATCACCCTATCAGAGATTCATTTTTTCTTTTGTAAATTCAGTTCATTTTCATTTGCAGTGAACGTATTGCACTCATCAACTTATTAATCAAACACAGACAATCTGCCAGCTGCAGGATGAAGGTGTAAAGGTCAACAGTCTCTGCAGAGTACGGCTCTTTATTTCTAAGATGGATGAAATCCCTGGAGGATACGTAAAACACCTTCTTAAATCAAACTCTTTGACATTAAAGCCCATGTTTGTATTAAATTAATCCTCTGTCCTAATTTGTTAGGACGCTTAATTTATACCATGTAAACAGTGGGGTGTGACATGCTCAAAATTATTACTATAAAGTTTGGGGTGATTCATTATGACAATAACTTAAAATGTGCTTTGGTGGGAGAGGGGGGGATGATGAAAACATCTGAATTAAATTAATCAATGCCCCTTTTCTGTTTCTTGTCTTAACAACCAGATTACTCCTCGAACTCTTGATTGAACACACCCAACTGACACAAAACACCTTTTACACGTTTGATTAAAAAAAGATAACGCATCAGTAGTCTATATGAAGGCTTTGAAGCATTACACAGATGTAATCTTTGAATAACAATACAGATAGAGAGGCTCATGTCTCCCGAGGAGCTGCAATGTGGCAGCTATCTGGCTGCTGGGCTCAGCTCCTTTGTACATATTTCATAGAGCAGATTCTCATCATGTGGTACAAAGCCATTAACTCCACCTCCTCCGTCAAAGGGCTGTCCCTCCAAAAGAGAGACCTCTGGATTCACTGCTGAAGTAATGACACTTTATTTCATTATCTCCAAGGCAGACTTCAACACTTCAACACTATTTGGTGGAGTGTGTTTAATATTTAGCTTTCAAATAAACATGACAGATGCTTGTAGGATATATAGACCACATTATATGTTTTTTTTTATTATTATTCTGTTAAAATGCCTTCAGATCTTTTTCATTTCAAGATGAAATAATTGGCATTATTCTCACCCCAGCATGTATTTATGGTTTGAAAACAACAACAAAACCCTGCAATTAAGAAGCTAGGCCTATGAAAGCTGAGTTAAGTTAAATTTCATCGAATGATTACTTGGGACTGGCCCAAATTATGATAATTCAAGAAAAGCCAATGATTTGGACATCTTCACTTTCAACAAAATGAACTGGTGTCTGTGAGTGTTTGCTGGTTTCTGTTTTTTTTAATTGATAAAAATATTTGGCACAATATTTACCACAAAGAACTGCTAAATTTGGTTGTGCATTTGGCTCTAAGACCCCAAACAGTTTTGTGTTTGGGTGATTTTTCTTGTGATACCACAATCACCCAAACGCAGTGGACTCAGTGGACTCAGTGGACTGAGAGAGAAAACCAGGTCCACTGAGTCAGGATCTGAGGAGCCAGCAGCCTCAAACTGATGACCAGGGCTCCTCTTATCACTGGTCTGTGAAATAAGAGAACAATCAATCACTTAGGTCTACTTTTTCATCCTACTCATGCTCATGGACACGAGCCACATCTGCAACCGATCATTTGCTGTCAAGCCACCCCGCTTCTCTTTGTGTCTCGTGGAGGTGGCCTCGCCCTCTTCACCGGCCTCTCATGCTCTGAAGCAGTCCTCACACATGAGGAAACTCATCAAGGCAGGCCCCTATCATCCCATATCTTAGCTAACATGTCAGAAAAAAATGACAGATGCAGCAGAGCTTGCTTTATGCTGACAGCTACCTTGATCGATATAGAAACCCTTCTAGCCCCGGAGTGGCTCTGTCTCAGAGGGAGGCGAGGTCATGTTACATGCACCACCAAGCATCCTCCCACTGGATGAAAAGGAAGTGCAAATCTGGTGCAGTCTTCCCGTGACAGACATCAGTGTGAATATACCACCACGCTAAAACTGAATAAATAAAAGATACTATTTTGTTTTGGTTTGAAAAGACCTCTCATTTACATCTTCTGTGTGTGTCAGCGTCTTTGCTTTTGTCTCCTCGTTCACCCCAAAATATCTGGCTATGGTGACTTTCAGCAGCACAGACAGAAGCCCCCCCGGAGCAGATCCGCCGCCGTCACATGGTCTGGTGTCCCCACATGACACGGGTAAAAAAGACAACCCGCACACATAACATGACCGAGAACGCTGCTAATGGCACTAACACCTCTATTCAGAAGGCTGTCGCTCATCAATCAATCAACAGTGTCATGTTGTACTGACTCACATCAGTGATGCTGATTTATAAAACTCACTATCTATCATGATCTTGAGGGATTAATTAGTCGACTCAAATGAAAACCTGGGCAAAAAATGCATTTCCTCCAAAATCTACAGACCACAAATACAGATATTTGAGCAGTTGATGAGTTTTTAAATTCAAAGATTCAACACCAATAAGTCTGCACGTGTAAGTTTAGCAGAACCAAAGGAAAAAAGATTGACAATGGGGAAGATTTTAATCTTGGTCAAATGTACTGATTAAATCCTGAGATTTTACTGATATTGATAGTGTTTTTGTATTGTCTTGAGTCTAAAAATCGAGTATCACTCGGGCTTTTCAGGTTTAGGTGATGTCTGCTCAATGTTGATTTAAATGAAAAGCATTATATTTCAGTGACAGAGAGAGTAAGGATATTTTCTTTTGTCCACTTGCTTTTGCGTTTAAGATTTCCGTGCATGATTTCATGGATGGCGTGTCATTCATCAAGCTGAATTCATTTCCTTCAATCCACTCCAGTTTGTAGATTTAAGTTAAGATACAGCATTTTAAGTCATTCTTTTAATCTCAACCCACATTTGATAACTGATTTAAGAAAAGTAATAAAATTAGGCTTGAGAAAACACTTTTGAAGGTAACCAATAGAAGGGAACATTAGGATCCCATTTTAATGCTGTGAAAGCGTCGACTCTTCTTTCTGCATCCTCTTCTTTCGCAATAAACAGCTATTTTTTCCTTTGTCAGTACAAAGCCCTCCCGCCCTGATTCCCCTTCCTCCCAATCCCCTTCATTTGCAGTTTCCCCCCTCACCCTCTCCAACCCCCTCACCCTGTTCCCTCTCCCTGCTTTATGTTCACGGATACACACTTGCCATGGGGGATCGAACAATGCTAATTACTCCCAAATCAACTGTGCATCTAGGCAACGGCAGGCCAGAGGAAGATGGAGGGCAAATAGAGGATGGGAACAAAGTAAAAACAAGGTGGGATAAACTGGAGCTTCACCAAACGTAATTTTAACCATTTTTTTAATTTGATAAATTCTCTATAGTTGAGTTTCTTGGTATTTGAGGTACTTGAGTCTAAATAGAGAGACAATTCAGTCTGATGGATCAAACTGTAATAAATCTAAGCTAAATGATCCATACCAGTAATGTTCAGCTTGGAAAAGAGCCAAGCGGAAGGTTTGACTGGCGCTGACTGTCAAGGCCATACTGCCTACTGACAGACCACATGTCTGACCACACTGAATCTGTTCCATCTTAATAGAGCCGCTCCTTCACCTTGAAAATGATACAGCTGTAAAAGTGCCAAGCCTTAAAATGCTTAGAAGGCGTATCGAGGGGATCGGTAATAAAATCTGCACGCTCAGTATATTGAAAGATTTTGTGACAGTAAGTATATTCTAGAAAATATTGTTTTGTTCAACAGTTTTGGGATGATTGGACATAATTGCTTCTATAGTTTATCTGAACTCCGCTGCAGTTTGTTTTTTCTGAAAGTGGAAACTTTCAATATCACTTTTCCATCGTAAGACCATACATTTCTTGCCCTTTTGTTGATTTTTTGTTTGTTTCTTATATTTTTTTGTGGCAAGGAAAAGGGAAATGACACAAGATATCGTTTAGGTGATATGATGCCATATGCCAAAACAGCTTACTTGTAATTTAGAAAACCATGGACACCATCTGGAGGGACGGACGACCACAGAGTACTTATTCACTGGACATATTCAATTAATTGTTGTGTTGCTGGTATTGGTGCCTAAATGTCAGTCTGGTTCAAAAGATTTAAAATCAGTTGAATGCAAAAGAGGAAAATCTTTTTCAAATGTGAAGCCACTCCCACAAAAAAAAAAAAAATCCGAAATCAGCAATCAGCAATCAGAACAGCATTATATTGATTTTGCAGTGACTTTGGAATGACTGTTCCATCTACAGGAACAAATGGACCCAAACAATGCCAGCAAAATGCCCCCAAGTGTACAGCCGGCAGATCCCCTCACAGTGGGGGTCACTGTTCAGATTTTTGCTCCTTTAATCTATATCCATCTGTGCGATACTGTGCACAAATGAGCAAAAAATAATCCAGCACGAATGCCTTTCATTTCCAGTTTACCTCTCACATCTGCAGAGAACCGGGCCGAGTGTCTGGAAACAAACAGCTTGAGCTCCTGATCCATGTTACAGTCAATGAGGTTGGTGTCCCAAGAACGGATCCCTGCAACACACACACACAAGCGGGGGCAAGTTCCATAGAGGCAAAACTGTGTTAGCCTTTGTGTTTGGGAATCAGTCAATACTTCCAGCATACATCACAATTAAAACAACTTCATTAAAATTCTTCCAGTCACCCACTCATCTCTGTTGGTCCTCTGCTTCCAGTTCATTGGAAAAATTTAAAAGCGAACACGTCTAGACTTGACACTGATTTGGCATGAGCAAAGCAATCTATAATAGGAAATATCTATAGTGCTTTTTGGGTTTAGCCGTGGGCCAGAAGCACTGTTAGCCGCTCTTTGCTGAGTCATAGTATTGTGCACTCTTTATTTTCGCAGTGTCATAGTTTAATGATAGCTTATAAAAACACGAGAGGAAGCAATTTTCAGGGGGAAATTGGCAGGTAAAATAATGGAAATTAGAAGAATAGAAAATATAAATGAAAACTAAACAAAACAGAGACATTAACGCCACACAAGAAGACTAGATGTTTGGATTTTCCCTGCGATGTCTTGGTGGTTAGGGGCTTTTTCATTTAAAGGATTTACAATCCACAGGAGCATGATTTGTTAACAAGGGAATTTAAAATGGGCTGAGGCACAAATAACGTCCTAAATCAAGGCCATGAAAAAAAAAAAACTGGAATTTCCATCATCTTTATGAAACAGGACACTCAACTTTAAGACTAAATTGCTGTCTTTGCGTCCTCTTTAGCTTCTTTCTCCTTGCCTTTGTGTATGAAAGGAGCCTTTATTTGGCAACAACAGAGTTACTGCGCCATATTCTCCTCTTCCCACTCCTGTGTAACACTAACTGTGCACTCCAGCCCGGGAGGCAGGCCTCAGCAGCAGCTGTAGCGGAGTCGGAAGATGGGTCCTTGTGGCTTTCCGTAGGGACCGCAGTGCGGACAGGGCCACGCCCACAAGCCGGTGTGGGATGAGAGAACTGGATGCGGGATGATAATCGTGAAGATTGAAAAAATGATGAACGTTGGACCGATTTATGTATCGTTCGTTCCGGCGAACAAGCAGTCGTGTACAGAAAATGTATTTCTTTCTTTGTTTATTTATTTATTTATTTATTTGATCAAGCTTCGTTGCACAACACAAACAAAGTGCGAGTGGACACAACCCACCGCTATCCCCTCCCATGCATGGACAAAAGCCTGACGCACCTGAATAAACCACGTAAGCTGCACAAGAGTTGCAGATGTGCGAAAGGCTGCATTATTGACGCATTGTCCATATTTGATGCTGAATCATGGCTGTCAGCATTATCGGGATGTGGGATCTCTCTCACATGTGGGCATGACAAGAGCTAGGCCTACTGACATGAAAATAAGACAGAATAAATCACCCTTGGTCGAGAAGCTCTAAAAGACGGTGACTGGGTGGAAAGTCTACCTGTGGGGTTAAAAGAAATGGGAAGTGGTACCAGTCTATTAGCATGTGGTAATGCATCTGGGAAAAAATGTTTATCAGCAAAAACTACTCAGAAACATGCTTAAATACATGTACATAGATTTGAATGACTTAATAATAAGCCGTGCGTAATGAACCCTGCGTAAAGCTTTGGGTTTGCGAACTGGTGCAGCTTCTAAAGCCATGTCAACACGCGTTAAAACCTAAGGGATCAACTTCAAAGCTTTACATGCTTCCCCAAGTAGTGATGGAGACGTCAAGTTCATCTGTCAGTGGCCTACACCCACCCAACAAAGCTCCATCTTACCTTTCTCTATATCCGCAATGGCACACTTGAGGTGGTCCTCCGTTATGATCTCCCCGATGACCACCAGCAGGTAGAATTTGCTGTCGTTGAAATGCTGCGAGGGGCCGGAGGATGTCGGGGAAGCCCCGATTTTGCTCTGGCCACCCAAAGTCTCCATATCTGCAGATTCGACCAACGTGGCCATCCTCTCCTCTGCTCTGCTCTGCCTGCTTGTCCCTCACGTTCCACCGTACGTAGGCTTGTCAGGAACCCAACAGCAGTCTGCCTCCTCCCCTAATGCGCCGGAGTGCTCTCCAGACATACGAGTGGAGCCTGGATAGGAGTGGCCCTAGCTTTTTATACCGGCAGACATTGTGTCATGCCCGGTAACCGGGGAGAGGAGACGGCATCGGGATGGGTTTTTTTTTTTTCGCACACTCATTCCACAGCTGATGTCATCCGCAACGAATCAAACGCCTCCGGAAGAAGAGATGGGACTCTTTTCACTGTTTGCATTCACAACTGCTAGTTCCCCCATCACCTGTTACTCACAAGTCCAAATTACAGTCAAAAGAATAAAAAACATGCATATGATGATCTTATTATTATCTTCTATCTTTTTACAAAATCTAAATCCATTCCATAACCTATGGAATAGCCTTATTAAAGGGTCATTTTTGGGGTTTTAATTAGTATTTAAAACAGCCCTATTCATTATTATTAAATTATTTTTGTTCAAAACGATGGATACTAAAAACATGTCGCCTTAAAGCTTAAAGCTTGACTTGTAAAGAAAGCTGTTTGAATGAAAATTACATAGGAAGTCTACAACTCAAATCCTTCCCTCAAATCCACAATAAAACAGTATTTATCAATTATTTACCTACCAATGTTGTTTTGTACTCCCTTTACCTCATAATACCTTGTAATACAGAGTTATGTTTAATGTTAACTCAACCTATCCCAAACCCTGTATTAAATATTTGTAAAACACTGACATATACAAAATGACCTGTTTCATGTTGAAAATCTCGTTGAAATCTTTCATCTACTTCTTTAGTACATTTTAATAGAAAGACACAGTCAGAATGAGGATTTATTGATAATGGCAACGTTTTGGTAACAGTGCTTTGAAAAACATCACTGCATATTTATTATAACATAAATCTACCTAATTCCTCACATAGATACAAAATAATTTCCCACACACATCCCTCTTAAAGATGCCACTTCATGTGGGAAAACATCTGCAATTAAACTTGAGTTATAGGTATTATATGATCGACACAGTATTATACTCTTAGAAGGCCTGTATTTGATTGACTCGAGTGGTTTCTTGTTCACTCTCCTGTGCAGTCTCACGGGGAGTTTTTAAGAGATTCCCTTTGATTATGGAAAGCTTCAGCCTACTGTAACAAACAAAAAAAAGTCATATGAAAGAAATATATGATCAGACGAAGGTTAAAGATGGACAAATGAATAGAACTGAGATCACAGGATTCCTGCGTGTCATGTTTTATTGGAAAGGAAGTGAATGTGCGCGCACCTGAGTGTGTTAAATGGAGTTGGCAGCGCCATTTCATCCTTTGATATAAAACATAAAAGATGTCCAGTCCTCCCAGGAGTAAAAAAAAACATTCAGTGAAAAAAAAAGAAGAAAAAAACCCCCTCTCACATCTTATAGAAACAACACAAATATAACAAAAGCCGAAAGAGATCTGTTCTCCAAACAGCCACAAGATTTCAACCCCTTGCTAAAAATGTATTTCACTCACAGAGCAGAGGGCTAAACCTGGGATTTGTTTGAGACATTGGCAGCAGATGTGAATCCTCTTTGTTGTGTGACTGGGCCTGGATGGATGCTCGACCGGACTGGGTTCCTTATTTAGACACTGGATCAATACCTTGGGGCCTTGTTTGTGTTGTCCTGCGGGCAGCTGTTCTAAGTAGAGGTGCATTGTCCAGCTGGGGGAGCCTATGTACTGGCTGGGGGTTGTGTTTTGCCTCCACAACATGAACATTGGTGTGTAAGTTAAAAGACTCATGGTTTTCCAGTCAAACATCTCACCGTGAGAAGATTACAGGCAAATCCTCTTCATCTATAACATTCCTGTGTCTCATGTAGGTATCCCCACAAACAAACATCCAGATGTCTAATCTGGATCTCCTTCTGGCAAGCCTCATTGATGTGTGTGCATGGACGGGGGTCACCATTGGTGCGCTATTGACCGAGCATGCTGCTGAATGTGAATATTTCAAGGCCTTTGTGGCCTGGTGGGCTGGGTTTGGTCATATCCACCCAAGGCCATGGGAGGTTGCATCAAACATTCATTATACACCATTGGGAAAGAGGGAGGCCATTAAAAATACAACAAGGTGCAGCCAGCAGTCTCTCAGACTGAGATATGGATGAGATTGACGCGATGGGCTTGACTGTGACGATTCTGTTTGGGTCTCTGTGTACAGACAGGAACTGAACCTGGAAAGGTTTTAATAATTCAGGATGCTTGAATCAAAACAAAAGAGAGGTGAGACATACATGATGCACAGAATAAACCAAAGAAATGAAAAAGAAAAGCAAAGGATCCGAAAAGACAACACAGAGACGCACATCCACAACGTTGTTCCACAACGGAGAGTGTTCACAGCCCTCTATTTACCCTCTGTTTCATTATTTACCGTCTGTGAGTGGCGCTCATATTCATTACATGCTGAATCATTTTCGGCCTGCTCAGTGAGAGCTGCTTTTGTTCCGCTGCGCTGCTTTGAAAATTCAAACGAAAGCTTTTTCTTGCCACACCTTCTCAGTACAACCAGCATGGACTCATGCAGAGTTAAGTGGGGCTGTGCTTGGAACTCCACCAGGCCGTTTGATCGGACATCCCTCATCATGTCAGTATAAAAGCACAAGAGGGGACTAATTTGTTGATGAGGTTATGGCCATCTATGCTATGACTAAAATGAAAAATCTCTCATCTTGTGAGAAAACTTCTGTTCTGGGCGACTAAGATAATGAAATAAAAAAAAAGTATCCAACAGACTAAAAATGGGAAATGGATCAATTGAACTACTTTTGGTCATTTTATGACTATATTTTATCAGACCACCCCAGAGTTTCTTTGCTACAAAATGATCAGAGCACATCTGGAAAGATAGTAAGAAACTCAAGGAAGAAGGGTTTTCCATATGGGTCAGTTTCTTCTAACAAACACGCTTACAAACGCAATCATAGACTCACAATCAACATGAGGGTGTCTGAGGAGTCCCATTCTTTGCTGTTGTGTCTCTCTGTCCGGTCTGCATGGCTCTGAGTTGACATTAACAATATATAATTCCAGCGCGTAAAATATTTGTACGTGTGTTTGATCAGATATTTATTAACCTCTTTCAGAACAGCAGACCCCTAGAAATCCACGACTCAGTCCAGATGCTAAATAATTTACTACAGGAAAGCGAACAACAGTCAGTTTGACCTGTTTTTTTCGACACACCACACAAGGATAAGCTAGACATGTTCACAGCAGGAGTGTGTGTGTGAATGAACCAGCTGAACCCTGTTGTGTCTGTGTTGAATGATTTCTGTGCAGAGGGAGGATGCTTATTTTCTAGATTCCCTCAACCGATGTCCTATTATGTGCCTAAAACTGAAACCGGTCAGCTTATTTACTAACTGTTGATCACGAAGTGCAAATGTAGATATTTCTCAGAGGCTACCGTTGAGCATGAAATGTTTTGCTCACAATATCACAACTTAAGGGATTTATTATTTCATATGAGCCTTGTTATTTAGCCTAAAAAGTCCCAGTAGAGATACAACATCTGTTATGTACCGCAGGAGTTCTCCAAAGATAATGGTACAATAATAACTGCACAGTAATCACATGATTTATTTATGTATTTATCAGTAAGCATAAAATGTCCTTAAATGGGTCTGAGGATGACAATGATTAATCCTTAGTTATGAGGGCCCCTCTTAAATTAACTCCAAATTTGGTCTATTTTCATACTATGATGAGTTAAACTATGGCAAGTTAAAAATTCAACTTGCTTCCCTTCCAACGTGAGCAAAAATCATGAAGGTACAGGTTAGGCTTTGGACAGACAGCTCCCTCTTGTGGGGATGTGGAAAAAACAAAGACTGACATCGATGTCACTACTGTACTGTGATTACTGTACTTGTGAATTAGCAAAAAATAACATTTTGTAACAAAAAATTTCCTGTACACATTCTGGTCCTGATCACGGACAATTCAGACAGATTTTATTAATTTATTTTCAATTGTTGAAATTGAAAATCAATTAATAACTTCTAAGAATTAGTTTTATACACAAAAAGAGTCATGTTCTCACATGCAGAAAAATTTCCTCAAAATTTGAGGAAACTATATATATAAGATGGACAGATTTAGATTTGAAATGAGTGTAATGTACTATCCTGTTTCATCTGTTGGAGTGAGGTAGCGCTGATTCCCGTCAACTTGGTGCAACAGGGGTCAGCAGATAAAGAAAGAGTAGAATGTTATGGGCTATATAGATGCATACCCTGATAAAATCTTGACTATTACAACATTTCTTACCTCTATGACTCTCAAAGAAAGCATGCAGGCCTGCCAGGACCTGTAATCTACCCACAAAGTGGAGGTGTTGCTAATGACCACTCCAGAAATGACGAAATGCACAAAAACACTATCTGTAAGGTAAGGCCATGCAAGGCCAGACTTTCATTGTGATCTCTTTTTCCACTTGAGCAGTTACAGGGTTAAAATGCAATATAAGAATGCTTACAGTTCTCTATAAGTACAGAACAACCAGAGAGGGGAGCTATGGTGCCACTGTAGAAGGAAAGAAAACTTCTGATATGGATAAGTGTATGTGGTACATGACAGCTTACACACCTGTGAGACATTTTTTACATGTGTCTCTTGTATCATATTTCTGGTAAATTCCACAGGAGCCCAGTACCAGTGATTATGTATTCTTAAAAGAAAAATAATGATTAAAAAACAGGCGGGTAAGCCTGTTATCATTAATAATATATTCCAATATTTTCCAGAATATTTTTTTTTTTTTACATGGATTATGCAAATTTCAATAAGTGCCAATCAGGGGTGAATGGATGTCAAAGAGATGTTTAGTGGAGATTGTGTTCTGAGTCGGTAGAGGAGGAAGAAATGAAATACCATGGAGTTATGCTAGTAATTCTGTTCTTATTTATCATTAAACAAACTTGGAACTGTTTTGATGCAATGCTCTGTGGTTAACCATGAAATTATCTGAGCACTTATCAAGCAGAAGTGTGCATCAAGTGTTCTGTCTGCAGGCATGCTTCCAGCGTGGAATGCAGTTGTCTGCTGTCTGGTGGCTCGTGCGCGCACACTCGAGCAATCAGCCTCCGTGCCCTGCCAATTCC